CTAAGATCAATGTTGGAAAAAGACTTTGAACAAGTAAATTCTGAGGATCCTGGCAAGGATCATACGTCTTTGAACATTGTAGACTGGCGCTACAGAATCACAAACAAAAAACCGTACAAAGTAACAGAAACTCAATCACAGGAGGACTGCCTACAGCAGCAAAAACAAAAATGGATAGAACCTGAAACTCGAAGAGAAAAGAATGACATAATCAAAATGACAACATTCCACAACACGTCATATAAAATGTTCGGAAGGAAACCCACATCAATACTGGAAAGAGCAATAAAAGCTCATGGACTTGAGAAACCTGTTTTCCGAAAAATAAATGTTTTAAAAGAAAGATATAAATTTCAACCGAAAACAGTGCTCGGTCAATGATTGCCAAATATTTCCTTAAAGGGAAACAACTAATATTATCATTGCCATTCAAAGTGGAGATTTGATTTCGTTACGTTTCATATTTTTACGGCATATGCTCTGTTATTTAACGCTGAATATATCATTCTAATAAACAATAGATAGATTTAGTGCAATGTTAGGTCTGTTTTGCACGAGACTGAAAAGGTAGTCATAGGTTGGGTCTGCACAAGAGTCAAAAAGCTTGACCGAAATTTAGTTTGCACGAGATTCAGAGAGGTAATCCGAGATTTGGTTTGCATGAGAATCAAAATGGCTGACGCGGTTTGGTTTGCACGACGGTTAAGAAGGTAAACCGAGATTTGGTTTGCTCTAAAGTCAAAAAAGAAAACATCAGAAAGAAAGACATAGGTCTGGTTTGTAGGTGTGTCAGAAAGGTAGACATAAGTATATTAAACAGGTGGACCGTTCTATAGTGATTTTCCAAGCACAGTTTAGACGTGGAACAAGGCCGAAATTAAGGAGGCACCCAGTGAGAATCGATATCACTACTCAGTCGTAATTGTTCTAGCGAGACAAGCTTGCTAACCATTACACCACCTCGAGGTGCCCAGGTGGACCTTTCTATATATTTCTGCACGGAGACGAAGTCGGCCTGTTCGTAACCCCAACTGTCAGGTCGATAAAGTTGGTGAAGTTTTCCCGTCTTGAAAAACAAACAAAAATCGTTCACTGGCATTAGCGATAGTGCCACACAGTGAATCATAAGAGCATTTTAAAAAATATTCTTTAAGTACAGCCGAAGAACGCATCGGCCGAGACACTGTAATAAAAATAGATCACGGATGAGAAGTTTTGTCCAAATAACTGGTGGAATTATGACGATAACTTGCCTGGAAGTTTTAGATATATAATGGTACGTAATCGCTTGTTGACGCAACTGATGTAAGTATCTTCTTGATTTTATCGGTACGTATATATTTATTTCTTGAAGAGGAAATCAAGAGAAATGTTACACAAAAGATAGATCGAAAATCGATTCGGAGAGCGATTGTTAATAGAGAAGTCTGATTTGCGGATAAGCAAACCAGTCGTGCTGAGACTGGAAAATACCCCCGCCCCACACTCTGAATTGAAGGAGGATTAGTCAAATTGTGTCCATATAAACAAAACATTATTTGAGAATTTCTTTCGCTATTTCCGTTACTATAGATTAAATACAGCAATGTAAAAAATATTCAAGTACGTGAAAAATCTGAAGGATTTAGATATTGGCAATACTGAAACATATAAAACAACAAACATATAACGTAAAAAGTTAAATATAGAAAACATCAAATATATAAAGTAATAACTCAAAGATATAAAACATCAAACATAAAGTAAAAACATGAAACGTAACATCAATATATGAAATATATAAAAATATAAAATATACCACAAAATATATATAATAAAACATAATACATATAACATAAAAAGCATGTAAAATTTAAAACGAAAATCTGTCTATATTTACGAAATGAGGTAGTGTAACTATTTACACTATTTACATCATTCCGACTATTTTCCTTAACTTTATTGCACTAGTTACGACGTTTCAGCCGTTGTACGATGCGGCTTTCGTCAGGATCTGTCTATATTTCTGAGATGACGTATTGTAATTATTTACAGTATTGAAATCTTTCATACTGTTGTCCTCAGAATTATTGTCATATTCCAAACACTTCGGCCGTTGTAGGCTTCGGTCTTCTTCAGGTGATAAACGTTAAAATTTCGAACCGAAGTCTTTATTTAGTCCACTGGGGTAGATTGTTATGATTCCACGTGTCATGTCTTTTGGGACATGTCAGTTTCGGCTAATCTCCTTTAGTAACTCAACTTTCCATGTTTTTGTTCCCTCCGCTTTCGCCAGGTATTGAACTCACAACTCTTTGGGTTAAGTCACTTTTTAGATTACTTCAACAAACGTTTGGGGACGCATGGCCTAGTGGATAAAAGATCTGGTTGCTGTAACATATAAAACATAAAACAAAATAGAAAACATATAAAACCCAATATATATAGCATAACATATAAAACAAAATACTATGTGCAACATCGATAAGAAAATAGATAACAATATACAATATAAATTAGAAAATAGGTAACACATAATGCATAAAACATACAAAACATGAAATATATATGAAGCATAAAATTAAAATATATAAACAAGTATATAAAGCATAACACATAAAATATAAAATATATAACCAGATCTATAAACATAAAACATTGCATATTAAACGTAAAGCATAAAACATATTACATATAAAACATAAAATATTACATATAAAACAAAGCATAAAATATATTACATATAAAACATAAAGAATAAAATATATTACATATAAAACATAAAATATTACATATAAAACATAAAATATTACACATAAAACATAAAGAATAAAAAACATAAAACATAAAATATCTAACCGAATGTTTCTAAATAATTAATGGATTTTAATTCTTATAATTCGACGTATTTTTATTACTTCAAACGTTATTTTCAGTGGATACCCGGTGTAGTATATAAAACATAAAACGTATGAGACATAAAATCTATAGAATATAAAGCATAGCATAAAACGTATAACATAAAACATCACGCCCTTTCGTAGGCACTGCGGTGATTGGCAATACCAGCACGCGACATACTTTTCCGTAGGGAGTACATGGGTGGCATTGATGTATTGCAATACTGCCTCCTCTCAACACACACACACACACAGACAGACAGACAGACGGACAGACACACACAAACACACAAACACACACACACACACACACACACACACACACACACACACACATATATATATAGATAGATAGATAGATAGATAGATAGATAGATAGACAGACAGACATCCAGGGTGGAAATAAAGTCATTATACAATTACTTATGATAAAAAAGCAAAGCATTGGAGCGGGTGGCATGCAATTCGAATAGTATTACTAATTAAATTACTTATTGTTTAGTATAGAATTTTATTGTTATTAACCAGAATTAACCAGAACAATTGTAATAATAAAGTTCTGGACTATTCTTGTATAGCCCCCGCGTGGGGGTGGTATCATCTCGTTTTCTCGTGGCTACTAGTTGGTTTTGGACACCAATGAAGGACATGAACACGGACAATTTTAACTTATCTATTCTATTAATGTCGACATGTACTATTTAGTGCCCCCCCCCTCACAGGCGGAGTAGTATCCGCAATGTTAATTCAAATTGTCTGAAGAGAAAAAGTTGGTAATTTTGATGTTCCTGAACTTAAGTTTGTTGCTCATTTATATGCCGTGTCCCTTCAGGACGCTGGTTATCATGGCTTCTGCCCTTAATAAATTTTGCATTTTTGATATCTCTCCTAAAGCCTGTCCCGTCCTAGGTATGACGATAAACTACGTCCGCGTCCTGGGTAAGACGATAAACTACGTCCAACAGCAAAGCCTCTGATCAGGAGGTTTTGAGGAGTGTGGAACCACCAATTAATTGCTGGTGTTCTCAGGTCCACTTTAACCCAGGGTGGTAGCACCTGTTAGGGTCCCAGCTATGGGCAAATAGATAACCCCAACACTGGGGTCAAAACATTATGAAAGTGTAAAAATAGAATTTAATACTAGAAATACTTTGAAAAAAAATATTACCAGCAAGAAATTTTTGAAGGAAAAAATTAATACCAACTTACTTTTTTTGAAGAAAAAATATTACTAGAAATAGATTTTTGAAAAATTTTTTACCGGAAATAGATCTTTTGAAGGAAAAAATATTACCAGCAATACATTCTTGAAAAAATATTATCAGCATTAAAATTCTATTGGCATTAAATAACCCATTGAGGTTGATATGCCATAAAACAAACCAAACCAAACCTGTCAGGCTCGCTAAGTAGGTTATGCGCTGTTTTCCTCTGTACCTCTTGACTTCAATCTGTCAGGTGCCTTAGAAATTTCAAGCCTCTCTTTCTGATGTTAAGTATTTGTTCTTTTTGTTTCCATTGTCTTTAGAATTTTTCCGTAGCTATCATGTTCGATCCATGATATTTTTTCAATATCCTTCTGTATAACCACATTTCTGTTAATTCAAGTCTCTTCTACATCCGTGAGTAGATTGTCCATCATTCTCTGCCATATAGGAGGGTTTACAATTATTAAAATACATCCAGAAGTTAAATACTAATGATTAAATTCTAATCAATAACTGTTATCCCCAAGTATTGCCATTTCTAGATGATTAAATAGAGCTAAATTATTTCATTGAATTGATAGCCACTTCTTCACTTGAGCGAAAATTGTACTGGAGGTTGACGAGGATAAGTAGAACTTGTTTTCAGCAACTAATTAAAATTTAATCCATAAAATCGAAATTAAAATTTTGAATTATCCTGATCTGCTAAGTTCTATTTTTAAACTGAATGCAACTTCCTTTTACTCTTAATAATCAGGGTTTTTTTCTGTTTGTTAGTTAGTTTTATTTTTGTTTAATTAAAAGAATATGCGATTATACAAAGATTTCCATGTAACCTCGTGAGAAACTAGTCACGACTAAATAAAGATTATATGGATATCCGGCCAATTCTATCAGTAATTTTCTTATTTCTATGCATTTCTTTTTCTTTTCTTTTTCCTTATTTATATGCATTTCCTTTTTTCTTACTTCTATCCATTTCTTTTTTTTCTTATTTCTATGCATTTCTTTTTTCTTTTTTATTTATATGCATTTCCTTTTTTTCTTATTTTTCTTTTTTCTTATTTCTATTCAATTTTTTACGCATTTCAATTTGTGCTGTCCATTTCATTTTTCTTCTATGCATTTCTTTTTCTTTTCTTTTTTCTCATTGCTATGCATTTCTTTTTTCTTATTTATATGCTATTCTTTTTCTTTTCTTTGTCTTACTTTTATGCATTTCTTTTCCCTTTACTTTTTTCTTATTTCTATGCATTTCCTTTTTTTTCTTACTTGTATCCATTCCTTTTCTTACTTCTATGCATTTCTTTTTTCTTTCCTTTTTTCTTATTTTTATGAATTTTCTTTTTTTTTTTTATTGCTATCCATTTCTTTTTTTCTTACTGGCATGCATTTCTTTTTTTCTTTTCTTTTTCTCACTTTTTATGCATTTCTTTTTCTTTTCTTTTGTCTTACTTCTATGCATTTCTTTTTTCTTATTTCTATGAATTTTCTTTTTTTTCTTATATTTATCTATTTCTTTTTTCTTATTTCTATGCCTTTTTTCCCTTTTTCTCACTTCTATGCATTTCTTTTTATTTTCTTTTTTCTTATTTCCAGGAATTTCTTTTTTCTTTTCTCTTTTCTTATTTCTATGCATTTCTTTTTCTCTTTCTCACTTCTATGCATTTCTTTTTCTTTTCTTTTTTCTGGCTTCTATGTAATTCTTTTTTCTTATTTATATGCTCTTCTTTTTTCTTTTCTTTTGTCTTTACTCTTATGCATTTCTGCAGTAATACAATTTACTATTTGCAAAATATTTCTATAACAAGACCATTTACAATCATTTAAATACAAAATTTTGCTTTTTTGATTGATTCGTTTTTCATGTTTTATCAACCCTTTGAATATTATTTTCAAACAGAAAATGCTTTTAGATTGAAAGAATTATTTTTTGGAGATGATAATGGTTTACCGATACCGGTCTTATTAATTAACCCATAGTTTGGGGGAGAAGAGGTGGATTCATAACTTTCCCAAAGATATTTGTGTGTAAGTGAATATAACGAAACCAACGGGGATTGGAACTCGGATTTCCGTTTAACAATCCGATCCATTATCAATTACACTTTCTTACGTCTAAGCTTGCCGCACCTGGTATTCCCAAGTGGTCACCCATGTAGGTAGTGAACAAATGTTGCTTAACTTCAGTGATCATACGGGAACCGGTGTTTCAACATGACGTGGCCGCTCGCTGAAGTAGACTGTTCTAGTTCCACGTGCCATGTCTAATGGATGTCAGTTATCTCCTGTTAATTCCCCTCTCCATGTTTTCCACCGCCTTAGCCAGGTATTGAACTCACACTCTTTGGGCCCTGTTACTGGATCTAACTAACGCCATTATCCAATGTACCACGTGTTCTTGAGGACACATGGCACAGTGGATAAAGGTGTTAGAACGTGGAGAACTTGGAGAGAGGAATTAACAGGAGATAACTGATAACTGACATCCAGTGTGCAAAATAAAGGTTTCAGTTCAACATTCCAACTAGCTGAAGAAGGCCGGAGCGTACAACGGCCGAAACGTTGTTATAAATATTGCGATAGGGATGAGGACAATAGTTCGAATAATGTAAATAGGGTACATAATACCTCATCTCAGAAATATAGACAGAGATTTACATTTCCCCCGTATTCCATTAATGAAAAGTAAGTTCCACTCGAACAGCTTCTTCACGCGAACGGCTGCGCTCTGGAAGCTATTCTTCAGAGGATGTTTACCCGTTAACAACTGTCTTAACCTTTCCAAGCCTAGGATTAACCGTTATCTTATCCTCCTATCCGCATAAACTGCCTCTTACTCCTTAATCCTTTTCCTAGAGTCGCCCTAGAGCCTTGTACAGTGTGAACCTCACCGTAAAAAATGTTGTTCTAATATTAATAACTTGTGTTAATTCCTGCTCTCTGGCAATCCTTTTTCCTTCATATTCTATGCACAACATACGGACTGAGTGTCGATAGCTATTAAAACAAATCTTTATTAGATATATATATAAATTTTCTTGAGAGAAAAAAAACGCTTTTCTACTGTGTAGTTTTCAGTTCTTAAAGAGAACTCCTTTAAAAATCTAACAGACCATAAATTGCAAGATTTGGTGTTTGTTCGGCTTTCTTTTTTGTAAGGTCAAAATATATTTACTAAAGTGAAATGACGGAGGTTGCTCTAAGGCCAGTGGGAAGTATTAAGAAAGAAAATAAATAGTATCAGTGATTCTAAAAATACAAGCGATTCTAAAATACAACTGTTAATACTATTTTCATTATTATTTTTAACTCATTTCTCTTCAAGGTTCAAGAGTCACTCAAAGTAGAGAATTACTGAATTAGATATATGATATTTGGTGAGACATAAATACCTCCCACATATACCTTCTACATAATGGTAAGGAAGTAACTGAAGAAATCCTTTACACATTTTAAACTGTGTGGTGCGATTAAACTTAGGCAAGTATCAGTTGTGTCTTCATCTAGCTAATGTCTTACCATTATGTGGGAGGTATTTCTGGGTGGTATATTTGGAAGGTATAATACCTCCTACATTTTAGACTGTCAACTGTGTGGTGCTAGTGAACTTAGGCAAGTGTCAATGGTGTCTTCATCTAGCTAATGTGTTACCATTATGTGGGAGGTATTTCTGCCGCAACCCATAAAAATGTAAGAGTATGTGAATTCGGTGGATAAGTAATGACTGACCGTTGATATAAAGAGGTTACGATTGTAGCGTTTGAGGGAGTGTTCATTCAGGAGCCTGTTTCACAAAGTAACATTTCTTGGGGAAAAGCTGATAACTTCCTCCTTGAAAATGGAATACAGAGTGGTTGAAGGCGTTTTGACTGTGGACTCTTAGCTGTAAAGGTGTGAATGAGTGGAACTAAAGATTGCAGCCCGCCGGAACATTTGCCATGGAATTAGCGATAGATGAACGATAGGCTTCGACGTTTCGTCTGTGGGAAAATAGGTGGAGGATAGGAAATATGTCATTCTCAAGAAGACCGCGTGAACAACTTTAGACTCTGCCGGGATGAAAAGTGTGGATTGGGCAACCGAAATGTTGTGATGACATCAATAAAGATGGGTACAAAAGTAAGTAATGTAAATAAGACCGACGTAACGTGAAAAAAATAAAATAAAATAAAAAAGATCTATAATAAAAGAAACGAAATATTTCTCCTCGAATTAATGATTAATTAATTTTTAATTTTAATTTATTTTTTATTATTAGTTTCTTCGGAAAATAATGTCCGATTTTAGAATAAACCATTTAATCTTTGTCTAATAGATTGTTAAAATAGTTACACAAAAATATATTACTTATTCCTAAGGATTAAAGTATCCTCTTTGTTAAATTTATATCAGTCTCCTTCAGAATTTATATTAAAAGATTATACGCGCCTTACCTTGAACATGAAAAAATTCCTTTACTTTTTTGCATGAGTTCAAACTTGGTCATAATGCTTCTCAAACTGCTGACAATATCAACAGAGCATTGGGTGAAGGATCCACTTGTGATCGAACTGTACGGCGCTGGTGTTTGAAGTTTTGCACTAGGATCTTGAAGATCAGGCGATAGATGACATCCATCTGCAATTGACAATCAGTATCTGAAAACACTAGTCGAGCAAAGCCCACGTGAATATCTCAGATAACGGGTGTCAGTATTTCAACAATATCGAACTATCTCAAGAAAAACGACATGAGGAAGAAATTGGATAAATTAGTTCCACACGAACTCAATGAAAGATTGATTTTGATGTGTGTGTTCGACGCTGCATCTGCAAAAATCGAATCCTCCATTTCTTGATCGAACTGTGACTTGTGACGAGAAATGGATCCTTTATGACAATCGTAAACGATCGGCTGAATGGCTTGATCATGACGAAGCACCGAAACACTTTCCAAAACCGATATTTCATCAACAGAAGATTATGGTGACAGTCAGGTTGTCCGCCATTGACATTATCCATTACAGTTTTCTGAAATCTAAGCAAAGCGTCACTGCTGAAGCTTAGTGGGAGCAGCTGGATGAAATGCACATTAAGTTAAGCAAAATGCGATCAGCATCGGTTAATCGACGCGATCCAATTATGCTTCATGGCAATGCCTGTCCACATGTGGCCAGGATGACACTGCAGAATATAGCCGACATGGAATATGAGACTTTGTCACATCCAAAATATCCCCTTGATTTCTCTCCCACTAAATACTACTTTTTCAAGCACCTTGACAATTAAGTTAAAAGTCACTTCATTGCACAGAAGATACAGAAACTGCATTTAAATATTTTTGGTATCCAAACATTTAGAGTTGTATTATAAAGGCATAAATAACCTTGTAACTCTATAGCAGAAGTGGAAAGATGTTCAAGGTTTCTATTTGGACTGATTTAATAACTGTTTAAATATATTAATTCAGGAAGAGAAGTTGATTCTAAAATCGGACATTATTTTCCGAAAAACCTAATCGTACTGAACTCTCCAAATCTCTCGTTTGCCATATTCGTCAACCATATTCGTCAACCATATTCGTATTTTGACCTTATATCTGTTATGAGTGAAAATCGCTTTTTCACAAGTGCTAGCAAACGTGGTCAATATGTTCTTATAGATCTTATATATACACAAAAGGTTCAAGTTGATTGTAAAATGTGGGTGGGGGAGACCGGGAACAAAGGACAATTCATTTTTTATCAGTGACAGCATTTTATACCATCCTGTCTCCAACGGAAGTGGAGAATGTCTTTTCGTGTCTTTTTTTTTAACAGTGAGGTTCATCTTGTGCAAGGCACAGGGGTAAATCGAGGTAAAGGGTTACATTAAGAGGCAGTTTATGCATATAGTAATGGAACATATCGGTTAACCCTAAACTTGAACAGGTTAAGATTGTAGTGATCGGGGAAACATCCTCTAGTGATTCGGTTGCAAAGACCAATGGTTCGCGAGAAGCAGCTGCTCTTGCGGAACCTACTACTCACCAATGGAATACGGAGGGAATGTGGGTAGCTTGCTACAAAGTGGATGACATGGCGGATCCTGGCCGCGAAGGTTCTAACTGGAGGAACTAAGTAATGCAGTTCGTCCGAGCACTTTCTATGGAAGCAGCGATAGAGCAATGAAAAGTTTGCCACGTCCGGAGCTCGGAGTGTGGAAAATAATTTGTTACTTACAAGGACTTTGAGACGCTTTTGGACTCTATTATTGACTTTGATAATGTGAAATGCGGGTCTCAAGTTGGACATCGCTTAACGAGAATCTCAAAATTTGTTTTATTTATCTCTCTATTATAAAGCTTTATTCGTAACGACCAATAATTTAGTTTAGTGTTTTGGTAGTACTTATGTCGCTGATCCTAGTGGGGCGAAATCACCGTCTTTGTCGGTTAACACCAGCTCGAAATTTCTCATAAGGGAATATTAGCAGAGACTCATGGCCACAAAACGTTGACACACCGGTTCCCGAACGTTCACCAAAGTTAAGCAAACTCGAGCCTCGTCACTACCTTGATAGATAACTGCTTGTTAATGCCAGGTGCTGCAACCTGCAAATACCCTTGGGAAAGCAATGAATCCACATCTTCCCCGCCCTGCAGCGATGGGTTCATTAATAAAACTTGTTTTACTATACCATTATCTCCACCACACCACAAAAATTACAATCTAAAAATACTTTCTGGCTTTAAATAACCTGCAATCGGTTGATAAACCGTGGAAAACGAATTAATCAATCAATATTAGCAGATTTTGACAGATAATTTCATTTTGATTTCTCCAAGTAATCAGTTAGAATAATTTTCTAATGACCCATAAAGAGTTAAGACAAAGAAACCAGTCAATAAGTCCCAACGACCTACTAGATCTGCCGATCGATTTATATTTCTCGATTTCTAAATAAATTAATGACAAAGAATATGTATTCAATTAAAATTGATTATTTCTTTGTACTACTTTGTATTTGCAGGTTCAGCCTTCGTGCTGAAGATGAAGAACGAACACCAACAATTCAGAGGCAGCAACTTACCAAATTAATTAGAATCGTTAGCACAAAAAAATAACAAGGAAGACTGAGTTTAAAACAATGGAAATGAATCCGCTCAAGAAACGGAATTCTCTTAGGATTCTACGCCATTCTTAGGATATAATTGTCTACCAAAGTTTATGATGCTATACTTATTACCGATTCGATTTTATTGATGTTC